CCTGTTCTTTCTGTCTGCAATGTCCTGCCCTCTCTTCCCACCCACTATCCCCGTGAAACAAAATCTTTCAAGTTCCACCTCAAATGCCACTGCTTCAGGAAGTCTCCCTAATTGCCCCTCTCCTTTGTGTCACAGAAAAATGTTTACTTCTTACCTATCCGGATACACTGTTCACTCCTCAGGGGTGAGGATAAGTCATCTATCTATCTATTATCTCTCTGAAGCACCCACAAGTCTGAGCACTGGACTTTGCAGGACCTTGAACAAATAAATAAACAAATCTTCAACACCAGGTCGATGGCAATGAGCTCAGAGTTGTTCATACTTCCTTCCGAGACCCTGAACTAAATGTGCTCTATCAGCTGTTGCAAGCCATGTGATTAATTGGTTCCAGTCTCGTGATCACAGCTGGAGAATTTCCCCAAAGCCATTCCTGAGGCATGGGGCCTCCTCCAGGCAGACCCCGGAATTAGCTACTCTGAAAAATTCCTCATCACTCTCGAAGACAGGTGAGCATCCAGCTCTCCTCTTGATGACATACATGAAATGAATAATTTCATTTCTGTTGTGAAGGGAAATATAGACAATTGTAAAGTGTGCAGGGGAAGAGGAAGGCCGTGCTAAGAAGGTGTAGTCGGCTGTTGGAGAGGGCAACAAGGCCAGCCCCGCCCCAGAGCAGGAGACACAGAAGCACATGCAGAGCAGAGCCCTGCCGTGTGACAGACGGAAGGTGAGAGGAGACTCGAAGCCTCCAGACCCCAAGCCGCAGACCCCACAGACAAGCTGCCAAGAGAAGCAAAGCCGGAAAACTCAAGTGGAGTGGCTTATTTCATCAGCATCCAGTTGGTTAAAAATAACTTCACTTATTAGTTTAAGTGAGATCACCACAGAGCTGGAAATTCACTGTCAGTGAAACAAAAATACTGGAAGGAAAATGAGAAAAGTCTACATTCATGAGGAACTTTATTCCTATAAAGAAACACAGGAGGAAGCTGCCTGAACATTCCACAGGCCCTGGTTTCCTTCTGGGCTCTTTACGAGGCACATGTCTGCCATTTTTGGAGTTCACACTCTTCATTCTTCCTGTCTTGCTAAAGAGAAGCAGTAGCACAGAGCTCGGTGCCATGAAGCACCATTGGGAAAAAGGCAACCTTTGGAGAAATATTGCACCGGAGGCGTATGCCAAGCCAGACTTCACCTACACTCGTGCAGGAACCTCACCGAACAGCCTGTTCTTTTCAGCTCCCGCCAAGGCACTGCACCTTCCTTAAGCAAACAGATTTCCCTTGTTGACTGTGCTGTCAACAAAGGCTCTACTGAGGAAAAGCAGCAACTCCGCTGAGAAGGGTGGAGGGTGGTGTGGGAGTGGCTTACATGCTCTTTCTCAAAGAGGGAAGGCAGAGGGACAGTCACTCTGTCTCTCTGAGTGACTCTAGAGAATCCATCTCATTTTTCTAGAAAGCCCCTGGAGAGAACAGCCCTGTGACCCTAATCCCACCTCAGCATGCATTCCGGAGTCCCCCTCACGGCTCACCTAAAGCCTTCTTACCAATCAGGCCTAATACGACCAAGACTCCAGTCTTCCCTATCCATGCCTTGCCCTGGGTAGCCCCTGACCTAGTGGTGAGGGGCCCAGGATGGGCTCTGAAAAACTGCTCAGGGAGGCAGGACCCTTGAGCACTGTGACAATGATGAACCACACAGTTCCTGCTCCATTCGAATGGCATTCAGTCTTCACACACACCCCAACAGGTGTCGTGAAAACCCTGGCACATGCCTCATCTGAAGTATCCTGTTCTGCCCAGCTCGTGCAGTGAGCTCAGGGAGCCCAAAAGCTGCTGCCGGCACCAATATTCTGCCTTGGAACGTGTGTAGACGGTCCGCTGCAAGGTTTTCTGGTGGCCTGTCCTTGTTGTGCCTGGTCTCAGCACCCTGCAGTTCTGTCTCCCATGTTGGCTCTCCATGACTCAGAGGTCTTTTGGGTTTACTTTTGTCTGCTGTTGTTGTTTTTGCTATTTTTGGAGGACCATGTAGACCATTTAATTTTTTTATAATTTTAAATTTTTACATAATTTCAAAGTTACAGAAAAATTGTAATAACAAGGAACTTCCCTTTTATCCAGGTTCACCAGTATGTTTTCATTTTGCCCTGTTTGCTTTATCATTCTCTTCTCTCTTTCTACACACGCACACACAAACACACACACGTGTACGTGTATATATACATGTATGTGTGACTACATATATATGTGTATCTATATCTATAACTCTTTTCTCAACCATTTGAGAGTAAGTTATAGACATGATGTCCCTTTGCCCCTAAGAACCTTGGTGTACACTTCCTAAGAACAAGGATATTCTCTTATATAACTCCAATATAGTTACAAAAGTCAGGAAATTTAGGCCAGGATTGGTGGCTCAAGCCTGCAGTCCTGTCCTAGCGCTTTGGGAGGCTGAGGCAGGAGAATCGTTTGAGGCCAAGAGTTTGAGACCAGCCTGGGAAACAGAGAGAGACCCCATCTCTACAAAAAATAGAAAAATTAGCCGGGCATGGTGGCGCATGCCTGTAGTCCCAGCTACTTGGGAGGTTGAGGCAGGAAGATCACTTGAGCCCAGGAGTTTAAAGTTGCAGTGAGCTATGATGATGCCACTGCACTTCAGCCTGGGCAACAGAGTAAGACACTGTCTCAAAAAAAAAAAAAAAAAAAGCAGAAAATTTAAACATTGATACAATACTATTGTTTAATTCATAATCCATATTCAAATGTCATAAATCATAGCTATTTTTTTCTGGTCCAAGAAACAATCCAGGATCACAAATTGCACTTCATTGTCAAGTCTTTTTAGTCTATTTTAATCTAGAACAGTTGCTTAGCCTTTCTTTGGCTTTCTTATCCCTAAAATTTTTTGAAGAGTAGAACATTCCTCAATTTGAATTTAGTTAATGTTTCTTCATGATTAGATTCAGTTATGCATTTTTGGCTGGAATTTGCACAAAAATAAATCATTAAATCAATGTGTTCTTATGAGTGCAACATATCATATATGTTGATTTGCCCATGACTCACATTTGGAGTCACTATCATGGCTTTGACTTTGGTGCCCTGTAGGACATGAAAGGACTTTTCAACCTTTGGCTTCATGCACCACAATTGCTGGCAAAAGGGGCACGCGCTTGCACACACATAACCTGCTTGATGGCCTGTGAGGTGGAGAGCCCAGGCCGGCCCTTTGGATGAAGAACACATGGCTCAGCCACCCCATCACTTTGTCAACAGCCAGCAAACTCCCAGAAGCGAGGCTGCATAGCTAACCAGCAGCTGACCATACACTCATGAATGAGCCCAGCCAACACTGGCAGAAGAGCAACACAAATTGGTCGTGCACAAATGCCACTGCACTTTAGCCACTGCACCAGCTAAATAAATAGTTGTTTTAAGCCACTACATTTTAGGGTGGCATGTTACATAGCAAAAGCTAACTGACATCTCTTGTTCATCAGGGGAAAGACATAGGACTTGGAAGCCCTACATATTTATTTGAGGTCACTGAAGAAAGGTCATCCTATTTTCCTCTGGTTTTGTCTTGTCTCCCTCAAAGATCTGTCCCTCTGCCTATATTTGGCATTCAAAGGATCATTTTAATTTACTTATGTGGTCTTTAAAAAAAAAACAAAAAAAACAAAAAAAATGCCTTCCCCGGGGTTTTCCAAAAAAAAGCCAAAACCCCCAAGTCACTGAATTTGGAAAAAAGAAGGCAAGAAAACCCCCCAAAAAAAAAAAAACCGAAAAAGAAAAAACCCTCCCGGAAAAAAAACCCAAAACAAAAAAAAAACCCAACAACAAAAAAAAACCAAAAAACAACCTTCCAGGGCCTTAGGGTTCACTATGGCTCTTACTTTTACCAACTCCTCTGACTCCTTCCCTGGAGATTAGGATTTGGTGCCTCTAGGATGCAGCCTGAGGGTCTGTATTTTTAACAAGTTCATCTGGTATTTCACATCATCAGAGAAGTTTGGGAAACCCTGCATTACAGAAGTAGTTCTCAACCTGGGCTGCACATTAAAGTCACTGGGGAGCTTTAATAAACCAGAATGTCTAGAACATTCAAATCTGAATCTCTAGGGCTGGCACCCAGGCGTCAATATTTTTTAGTATCTCCCAGATGAGTCCAGTGTGCAGCCAAACAGAACCTCTGCTCATTTCTATGACTGAAGAGTAAGAAGCTGGCTTTGTTCCCATTCACATGAATATTCCCTTCAATGGCATGTTTCTGATGAAGGTGTGCTTATTTTGATGCAGATGAACTGCTGCCCTGGAGACTTCCTTATGGTTTTCTCCTTACCACTTGGCTGATTTCCCAAAAGGAAGCTGAATTTTCATTCCTAGGAGCAGTTCTCTAAATCCTATAAATTTTCTTTTTGGGAAAAAGACTTTTTTTCTTTTAAGTGTACTGTACACTATGAAGAGAGGTGGAAGGGCAAGTTGTGAACAACAGCAATTGTATTAGTTGCTGCCAGGGCTCTGCCCTTATTATCGAGATACCTTTACCATTCTCACGTACACGGGTGGGGCACCTGTGCCTATGTGTTGGAGGGTGGCACTCAGGCTACTGGAACCTTTTGCCTGTGCACACAAAAACCCCACAGAGACTGAGAATTTCATCTCCTGAAGTAATCTTTCACCAAGGACTGATAGGTGTAATGGTATAAACACCCCAGCTTCCTCACCCCAATCAGGAAAACTGTGGTCACGTACACTGTCTCCAGAGATTCTTTGAGGAAAAGTTACCCGTCCCCCACCACAGTGGACATTGCTTAATACTGCATCACTGCTTGGCCCCCTTCCCTTCCCTGTATACTTCCCCACTGCTCTACTTGCTTTTCTTTGGAAGTCTTCCTTAGAAACCATGTTCAGTGAATCCTCATCTCAAGGTCTCCTAGAGAACCCAACCTGAGATAGCACACCCTCCAAGACCTTTACAAAGACTCTGGCACTGACCTTCATCCTTAATACAAAGGGCATTGTACATGCCACCAGGAACTGGGTTGCTCTCAATCCTCACATCAACAGCTCTCATGATTTGCTGTTCACCACTCCCTTTGCTACACACGGTTGTCCTAAAACAGACAAAGAAGGCACTGAGTTAGGAGAACTTCTCTGGGTTGGAAATAAGAACAATTCTTTTCTGCTGTCAGCTCTGAAATCAGGAGAGAATTTTCTGATTCATGAGCTTTGGCTGAAAGCATCAATATGGAAACATTCTCCCCAAACAAAGGTCTAAATTCAGGAATACAGGTGATGCTTGGGTTGAAGTCGTAAGTGTCGATTCAAGTTTCAGAGACAATACATGGTTCAGCTCTTCTAGTATATATTTGTTTTTTATTTCATAAAATTCTGCTCTTTTCTTTTTCTCTTGTTTTGCCATTCTTTTCCAAATTTCTTACAATAGATCATTAGGTTGATGAACCTTCAGCTTTTTTCCTTTTATAATACAAACATTTAATGCTTTAGATTTCCCTCTGGGTGTAGCTTTGGCAGCACCCCACAAGTTTGGATATGTATGCTAATTTCCATTATATATATATTTTTTCCTGTGATTTATTTAGGGATATCTTTTATAAACAGCAAATAGTTTAATTTTTAAAAACCATCTCACAATCTTTATTTCCTAATTGGAGCATCTTACCTACTTATCCTTAATTTAATCATCAATCTCTTTGAATTTAAATCTGCCATCTTATAAGTGGTTTTTATTAGTTCTGCCCATTTTCTCTTTCATTCGTCTTCTTTCTTTTCCCTGTTTTGGATTATTTGAATTCTCTTCTTTTTTTGGCATTCTCTTTTCCTCTGAATTGATTTGGAAGTTAAACATCCTTTTGGTATTCTTTCGGTAGTATCCAGAGGTCACAACATGCTTTCTTTGATTTAGTAAAATCAAATATTACTTTTACCCTGTCCTTTAATAATACAACTTAAAATACTTAAAATGCTATGAATTAACATCTTTAAAATGCTTCCCACTTACATAAATCATTTTTAGTGCTCATTATTATTATTGCTTTATATAATTATATAATTTCAATTTTCCCATATATTTATTTTCCATTTATTCTTTTTTGTATCTCCAGACTTTCACCTGCAATTATTTTCCTCTAGCCTGAAGAGTACCCTTCAGTGTTTCATTTAGTGCATGCAGCTTGGATGTGATAAATTCTCTCACCTTTTGTCTTTCTGAAAATGTCTTTATTTCACCTTTATTACTGGAAGATATTTTTCACTGGGTATAAAATTCTAGGTTGGCACTAATTTTTTTTTAGCACTTTGAAGATATCAATCATCTTTGGGCTTTCATTGTCAGTTTATTATTACTCCTTTGAAGGTAATCTCTCTTTATCTTATTTCTTTTAATATTTTTTCCTTTATATTTGATTCATATCAGTCTTACCATAATGTGCCTAGTTGTGGATTTTTTTGCATTTATCCTAATTGGGCTTTGCAGGGCTTCTACAATCTGTGCCTTGATGTTTTTCTTCAGTTGTGAATAATTCTCATATTGCTTTTATTGCGTTTTCTTTCTCTTCTCCCTTTAGAATTCCAATTATGTATATTTTCTTTGTCTTTTAACCTTTCTTATATGTTTTTCATCTTTTTTCCCCTCTGTTATTTATTCTGGATATAATTGTCTGTAATATAGTCCAGTTCACTAATTCTCTCTTTGACTTTTCCCTTTTTTAGAGAGCGACAGACAGGATCTCACTATATTGTCCAGGCTGGACTCGAACTCCTGAGCTCAAGCAATCCTCTTGCCTCAGCCTCCCGAGTAGCTGGGACTACAGACATGTGCCACCGTGCCCAGCTATCTTTGGCTCTTTTTAATCAGCTGTTAGATCTATCTACTATGTTTTAAATTTTAGTTATTGTATCTTTCATGTCGAGAGTTTCCAGCTAATTATTTGTATAGTTTTCCGTGTTTTGCAGAATTCTCTCTTTTGTCTTTTATGTCTTTGAACACTTTAAGGATAAAGTCTGTATCTACCGATGCTAATATCTGGAGTTTCTATTAGTTATTGTTTTTCTTGAATTTAATTCTTTTTGCCTTGTCTCCTCATGTGATAAGTTATTTTATATTGTACGACAAATCCTACATTGACTAAAATTGTTTGTTGAAATAAATTGAGGCCTAGGATAATATTATCTTCCTCAAAAGAGGAAAAAAAGCCAAATTCACGGCTATAGAGGATTTGAAGGTATTCTGCTGCTCCTTGGAGGGTCTGCGTCCAGTTCACTGTCCAGTATACTGTGTCTAGTTTACTCTTACTCCTGGGATACAGCTCTGCAAGGACCCAACCCAAGCAAAAGGGCTCACCAGGCCCCCTCCTACACACAAGTTGAATTCAAATCGCTATCCTTCTAGTCCCGTGAAACTATCAAAGTTGCTACTCAGATTTTCAGCCACCCTTTATGGAATCTGCAAAAGTTCTTGGGAGATAAGTGGCCCCAACTCTGAATTCATCACTCTAGACCTTCAACCTTCTCTGAATTTATATGTATGCTCAACATAAAATTCATGGAGATACAGGTCAGATATGCTATATGTCTACTATGCCATCAATTAAAAGATGGACCACACATTTAATAATTGCTTTTTAGTGTGTGTGTAAGGAGTGAGGGAAGCCATGCAGGAAAGACCCACAGTGAAATGTACATGCTAATGGTCAGATACTTCCTGGTTCCAGAGACATTAAAATGGAAGGACAGAAAAACTATTTTGAATATGTTGTCTAGCAAATATAACAAATAAGTATGCTTTCTTTATAAAGAAATATCTCAGCAGAGACCCACTAACATGTCTTCACACTGTATAGCAAACCCACAGAAGACAGATCTTTCCAATGACTCAGTTCTGACTTGCAATGCCCAGGAGACCTAAGTCTAGTTTCAAGTGGCTCTTCAGAATCTCTGAGTACCCTGGTTATCTGATGAAATTATATTAACAAAGTTATTAAAAACGTTACTATTAATACTTTACTACATTATGGAAATGCATATGCATATTTTGTCTATTCAAGAGCATGGATATACAATATAAGGCAGAGAGAACTACAGTTCCAGATTCACTGAAAGGCTCTGGATTAGCCTCAGTTGTCCCCTTTATTCAGTTGCTGCTTCACACTTGGCGCATTTGGAGACGTGAGTCAGCACGGCTGTGTATGTTTTCCATGGCCACCTGCCAGCTAGCCAGCTTCAGGGTCATCATCTACCAAAGTAGCTCTTGGAGCTTGTTTTATTCTTTCACATTCCTCTGGCATGAAGGAGAAAATAGAATGGCTCCTGCCTTCTCTGAGTAATAACTAAGGAAGCAAATACCAGAAGTACTGCAAAGCTTCCTCCTAGCTTTAGAATTACTTCTCTAGAGGATTCCATTGGTCAGGAACTTAGGGCACAGTGGGAATGGCCCGCGTCTGCTATATAATGTCTAGGGCCTGAGGAGGCAAGACTTATAGGCTGGAGACAACTCAACAGCTGGGAAAAGAATCACCCGGAGGCATCCTCACTCACATCTTTGGCCATGAAACTGGCCTGGCTAGGACATTGGTCGGGGCCATTGGCAAGAGCCCCTGCATCTCCACGCGGCCTGGCCCTCCTCACAGCATGGCCATCTCAGCATAGTCAGACTTCACATGGCATCTCAAGGCTATGAAAGTGGTTGTCCTCAGAATTCCAGATGGAAGCTGCATGGATTTTTCCAACCTGATCTCAGAGGTCACCTAGTCTCACTAATGCTGTATTCTGTCAGTGGAGGCAATACCATGCTGTCCCTGATTCAAAGGGAGGAGATATAGAGCACACCTCTTGACAGAAGTGGCATGAAAAACTTTGTGGCCATATTTTAAAACCCCCATACTATGTTCCTACACATATATAATATATGCAGACGATTATCCACAGAGAAAAAGGGATAAAGAATATATACTAGTTGACAGTCATTATCTCTAGGTGGAGAAGAAGAGAAAAACTTACTTTGTATTTTATATTAATATAAATCTGTATTATTTGAAATTTTTATAATGAGCATGTATTATTTTTATAATTTAAAGAGAAAATTCAAAATAACAAAGTAAGGAAGGGAAAAGATTGTGACAGAACTCCAGAAAAATGCTTTTATATAAGAACTCAAAACAAGAATGCCCTGGAAACCATTGCCCACTGCACTTTGCCTATCCTGGTGCCTCAACAGTACAATTTTTGAGCCCCCATGTCAGCCTTGGTGGGGCGGTCAGGGTAGGCGGGAAAGGCGAGCTGACTTACCCAAGTGTGCCGTCTGCCAGCCAGCCTGTGGTGCATACTGGGAAGGCACAATCCCGGACCACCCTCCGCAGCTCGTCTGCAGACACAAGGTGAGCGCCCCTGCTCTTGCAGGACAGCTGAGCCGCCTCCAGTTCCAGACCCCGAGAGCCATTCTGAGACTCCAGCACAAAGAGCTTCCCTGTGTGGGGAGAAGCACAAACACATGCAGGTTCCAGGATCCATGGGCATTTAGTCTCAGCAAACTCATCCTCTGGCAGACACTGGTCAGAACGATAGCTTCCTCCTTGCCTGAAGACCCAAGTGCAGCAACCACCCCCATTGTACACCACCCCTGGGACCAGGTGATGACAATTACACTAGTGCTTTCATCCATTTTTTGCTCTTGTCTTCTTAAAAAAGCAATAACAACAATCTACTATGGCATGTTTATCTGGATAAGCCCTTCAAATATTTCTTTTAAAAGGGTATCTTACAAATACTATGTGGCAGAGCTCATGTCCTAGGTTCCCCTGAGTTGGGTCACTTGGTGTCCAAGGCATGATTTAGGCCTCAGCTCTGTCTTCGTCTGTGACCCCCTACACAGCAGGTTGTTTCCCTTCTCTCTGTCCCTTGCCTTAGGACTTTATCAGGTCCTTCCCACAATGAAGTCATTTGTGTCTGCTGTGCTTCTCTCCTACTGGACAAGACAGCAGGGACCATGTGTGGTACACCCTGGCTCGCTGCAACACATAATATAGGGGCATGTGGTGGGCCTCAAAGAACGTGTGACAGATGAGGGAATGGGAGCATGGATTCAGGCAGAAGTGGAAGCCCAGGCTGAAAGCAAAAGAGAGCTTTAGGCGAGAAAACCATGGTGTAGGAGCAAGCACTGTGGTCCCCAGGAGCCTCCTGGAGGGATGAAGCAATGCCTTGGGTATCCCTATAAAGTTTAAGGTAAAGGCAGAAGAGTAAGAAAACCAATTAAAATGAGACACTTTACTTCTGTCTGTCAGCAAAATTTTCATAATATATCAATTTTATTAGAATAAGATACAACTATCACCTACTTGCAAAATTATTATAATAAATATAATAATCCCAACAAAACCAAAAGTTATAAACAATTCAAAAAATTTTCAAAATAAACATATGTGTAGGTGTTTGGTGCTCCCACATTTGACTATAAAAACGCAATACCAACAAAACTACAAGAAGTAAAAGAATCCACAATCCTCGTGGAAAATTTTAACCACTCTCCCCCTCACTAATTGACAAAACAGAAAAAAATCAGAAAGGATATAGAAGATTTAAGCAACAAAACTAACACTCTTGATGTAAGGACCGACGTACAGTACTGCACACCAAACTACAAAATACACATTCATTTTGTACAGAACATTTGTAAAATGGATCAAACACTTAGCTATAAGGCAAATCTAAAAATCTCAAAAGACCCAAATCATGTAAAGCATGTTTTTCAGACCACAACACAAACAAGCTAAAGTCATTTATTTATCAAACACTTACACAGCATTTACTATGGGTCAGATGTTGTTCAAACTGCTTTACAAATATGTGTTATATTAATCCTTACAACAACTCTATGATATAGGTGTTATTATTATCCCCATTTTACAGTTAATTAGTGATTAATACTTGTCTAAGATCATACAGCTGAGATATGAAACCAGACACTTTGGTTCCTTGTCAGTGATCTTAATTATTGTTACATTGCTTCTCGACAGCAAAGTAATAACAAGGAAAATCCCCTTGTGCATGGAAATTACAAAACATACTTTTTTTTTTTTTTTAAGACAGGGTCTTGCTCTGTCGCCTGGGCTAGAGTGCTGTGGTGTCATCCTAGCTCACTGCAACCTCAAGCTTCTGGGCTCAAGTGATCCTCCTGCCTCAGCCTTCTGAGTAGCTGGGTCTATAGGTGTACACCACCATGCCTGGCTAATTTTTCTATTTTTTTGTAGAGACGGGGTCTCTTTCTTGCTCAGGCTGGTCTCAAACTCCTGGCCTCAAGCAATCCTACTGGCTCAGCCTCCCAGAGTGCTAGGATTATAGGTGTGAGCCACTGCACCTGGCTTACAAAATATACCTCTAAATAAATCATGTTCAAAGAAGAAATCACAATTGAAAGAAAATATTTTAATATTTTTGTTAAGGGACAAAATCTTGGGGAGAAACTAAAGTAGTATATAAGGGACATTCATAGCCTCAGAGGCTCATGTTACAAAAGAAGTATGGTCAAAAATCAGTGATTTAAGTTTCTAGCTCAAAAAACTAAAAAAAAGCCCCACAAAATCAAAGCTTCTAAAGAAGTGAAAGAAGAAAATAATATAGAGCAGATATCAATAAAATGGAAAGTAGACATATAATAGAGAAAATAAAGTCAAAAGTTGCTTTTTTCAAGAGAATAATAAAACCCCTAGCAAAACTAATCAAGACAAAAGGAGAGAAAATACAAATTACCAATATCAAGAAGGAAAGGGAACATCACTACAGATCCCATAGACCCTGAAATGATAATTAGAGATTATTATGTTATATATGCCAGCACATTTGACAATTTAGATGAAGTGGGCAAATTTCTTAAAAAACACAACACCAACATTGATACAAAATGAATTTAAATTCTGAATATTCATTTATCTAATAAATAATTTAAGAAATTATTTAAAATATTCCCGCAAGAAAACCTGCAAATACAGATGATTTTACTATCAAAACAAACAAACAAAAGCCTCATCTTACAGAAACTGTTTCAAAGAATAAGAGGGGAAACAACTTTCCAATTCATTTTAGGAACCAGCAAAACTTTGATATGAACACCTACAAGAAAATTACAAGAAATGAAAGTTACAGGACAATATCTTGCATGAATGTAGGTTCAATAATCCTAAACTTATTTCCCTCACTCCAGACTCAGTTCTAGGTCTTCTCTTCCCACTGTAGAATTTTTCCTTAGGATGCCATCCACATACATGGTTTCAAAGACCATCCTTACACAGATGACACATTTTTCTCTTCAGTCCATGTTTTCCATCGACTCCATCTACCCCTATATCTCACCTGGACAACTGAAATAGCATCCTACATCCAATCTTGCCCTGGTTCCATTTATTCTCCCTACATCACAAGCAGGGTGATCTTTTCAAAACGCAAGTCTGATCAGGACTCTACTACTCGAAACCATTTAATATCTTCCTTTCCGTTTTTGGATTAAGACAAAATTTGATCTATGAGGCCCCACATCATCATGATGCCCCTGCCAATTTCCCTCCCATCATCTCTAACTACTTCTGCCACATGTTCCATTTTCCCTGCCACTCACATGTTCTTTCACATGTTATTCTCTACCCAAGACACTCCTTCCTCCCCCTCACTGCCCACTTAATTCTTACTCATCTTTCAGATCCTCCTGCACCAAGTCAAAATCTCCTAGTATATGCTCTCAGAGCACCTTCTGTCCTTTAATCTTATCAGTTATCAAAGTTGCAATTTCACATTTCATTTATATAATTATTTAATGACTCTCTCCCACAATGGATTTTAAGCTCCCTTATAGAAAAGACCTATCTTTCTTTCTTTCTTTCTTTTTTTTTTTTTTTTTTGAGACAGAGTCTCGCTCTGTTGCCCAGGCTAGAGTGCCGTGGCGTTAGCCTAGCTCACAGCAACCTCAAACTCCTGGGCTCAAGCGATCCTCCTGCCTCAGCCTCTCGAGTAGCTGGGATTACAGGCATGCAACACCATGCCTGGCTAATTTTTTTCTATATATTTTTAGTTGTCCAGCCAATTTCTTTCTATTTTTAGTAGAGACAGGCGTCTCACTCTTGCTCAGGCTGGTCTGGAACTCCTGAGCTCAAATGATCCTCCCGCCTCGGCCTCCCAGAGTGCTAGGCCCCTATCTTTCTTTATCATTCTATCTTCATCAGCAGGGACAATGCCTGGTATATAGTAGATAATATCTATTGAATTAATGAATCTTTCCCTGTAATCACTACCTAAACACAGTTCATTTACATTCAGTTAATGTAAAGATTCTTCCATTTCAAAAGTATTTAAAAGTATAGTACAAATCTCCTTTACGTATGAGATGTGTATCTAATTAGTCAAAGGTAACTAAATGTTTTTCATCTGAATTTTTCTGACTTATTTTTTAGAAATAGTTTCTCTCTCAATCTCTCTCTTCAAATATATGTAATGCATCACAGTTTAGCTGAACACTTCTTCTTCCTCCTCCCATCACGGTAACACACAAATAACCAAATGTGGGAAATGGTGGTAAAGCATTTAGTAAAGAAAAGAATCCATTCCTAATATAGCCTATAAGTCTTCCTGGTTCCATTATGAAAGTTGGAGCTCAGCAAATGGAGTTTCTTAAAAGGAAGTGTACCTACAATTCTCCATTGGGGAAGCTGGGCGAAGAAAAGGAAGGAGAAAAGAAAGCATTCCTGGCAAGCAGTAATGGGATCATATGCTCTGGTGTTGTTCGCCCTTTCTCTTTGTCCAATGACATTTCTGCTTCAACTTTCTATGACCCATATTAAGCTAGATAGGCACAAAATATTGACCCTTATCCATGTGGCACTCCACTTAAACCGTTACGATGAGGTGAAACTCTAAAGCCTCATAGATTGCAAAGATATTTCTTTAAAAGGAATTAAAATTGCTACAATAGTATACATCATTCAAAAGTTAATACTAGCTCCAATTTACTCTACTTGCATTCTTTAAAATCTGCTTAATTTTCATGACTCAATGTCAGGCAAAAACACGACAGTAAAGAACTGCTAGTGGATTGACTGCTAACAGCTATGGGATTTCTTTTGGGGGTGATGGAAATGTCCTGGAATTAGATGCACAACCACAGTTTGCACAAATAATGAATACGCTAAAAACCATTGAATTGTACAGTTTAAAATGGCACGTTTTATGTGAATTATATCTCAATTTAAAATATTAGCGATGGCAACAGCTTTCAAAGTTAAAATGTTTTGTCTCTAACACTCTCTCTGAGGATTCGGAGAAATAGACATTCATCCTTAATCAGGAGCAAAGAGCTCTTCGAGCCTGCACTTAAAAAACAGGACTAAAACCTCTAAGAGAATATCCCGAGGCTTTTTTCTTCTTGGCTTTTCCCTTTTCCTAACCATCATGCTTCTTTCTGTCATGTCTTCTAGTTTCACCCAATGTTGCTTGCTAAATAAGAATGACAGTTAAAAATATACAAAGCATCCTAAATCAGCTGAGGGCAGGTCTCCTTTATCAATGTAATTGGTTCTAAACTTGGATTTACTAGAAACCCCTCATGGGTGTGAGAACTGCTGGCTTTTAAGCCGGCTTCCTTCAGATCCTCCTGTCCCAAGTCAGCAGGGTTTTGTTCCAAAATCAAAACACAGCTGACTTAGTTTTTCAAAACGGAATTGATACAGAGCTCTCATCCTGGTAATTTGAGGTAAGTCTTAAAAAGCTGAATTCGGGCTCAAAAAAACAAAAACAAAAAGAGGACCAATTCTCTGAGAACCTATAATAACCTGGCCCCTACCTATTTCTCAACATCCCGCCCTGCACTCTTGCCTCCCGGCACTTTGCTTTATATCATTTGTCCCATTTTCCCTGCCACTCGGAGAGCCTCTGAGCCGTTTACCCGGGACACGCTTCTTTCCCGTAGTCTAGTTGATACCCACTCATCCTTTCAGATTTTCCTGGACCGAGCCAAAATATCCGACGGAGTTTTCCAACCACCGACCTTGTCGTCAGGAGCACATTTAATAGACGTTGAGAAACTGAGAGATGGTGGGGAATGACCTCTCAGCAGAGGAGGTTCTAGGGCACCTGAGACGTGATTTCATTTTGCAGAACTTTTATGGAGACCTTGGGAAAGCCCGCTGCGGGACTGCGGGACCAACGCACAGGCTTTCTCCGGTGCGCGCTCGGCGCTAAGGGAGGGTGCGGGCGCCCCGGCGGGCGTGTGGGCGCGCGGACTTGGTGGGCCGGGAGAGGGATGCTGGGTCGCAGGACCGCCGCTCGCTCATTCCTCCCGGGCTGGCCGCTTGCCCGGCCTGTCCGAGGGAGCAGCCTGGGCGAGCTTCGTCCTCCCCGCCCGGACCCCAAGGTCCACCCCTGGCCCCGCAGCCTCCCGAACACTCACCATCCGCCCGCACGGAGAGGCGCGGCAGACCCAGCAGGAGAAGCGCCGACGCCCAGACCCCGGGCAGGGGGCTGCGCAACCGGGCGCGCGGGCCAGGTCCCTCGGCAACCATGGTCCCGGCGTCCGCGGGCCGGCGGGCTCGGGTGAGGGCTCCGGCTGAGCTCGGGGTTGCCCGGCCCACGGCCCAGCGTGCGCCACTCGGCGCTGCGCTCTGCGCTCTGCTCGCGAGTCGCAGGCTTCGCGCCCGGCGCGCCGAGAGGCAAGAACGCGGAAAGCCGGAGGCGGCCTGGGACGCCTGAGCGCGGGGGCCGCCGAACTCCCGGGGGTCTTCTCCGTGGCGCCGGAGAGGCGGTTGTAACCCGGCTCCGCCTTCTCGCCGGGCACCTGGAAGCTTCGGTGCCAAAAGGGGCTGCGCCGGACCGCGCTTTCCGCGGGCGCAGCGGGGCGGAGGGTGAGGGCGCGGGGAGGCGGGGAGGGCGGAGAGCCGGCTGCAAGGAACCCCCGCCTGTCTGGGGGACTCTTGGGGAGAGGGTGACGCAGTCTGAGAGGCCGAGGCCCTCGGGCAGGACCGTTAAAAAGCGGGCGCCCAACTCTGCCCTCTGCCTCTTGACTTGCCGTCTGGCGTCTTCCCATAGAGGAGGAGCTTTCTGTTTTTTGGTGTTTTGTTTTGTTTTAATGAAAAAGAGGAAGAATCTAACTTACCAACCTCACTCTAAGGTGTGAAACGCACGGAATAGCGAGGTTCCTCTGTTCTGCAATAAAAGCGTGGCTTTAAAGTCACTCAGGAAATGGCATCTTCAGGAACGCTTCCTTCACGACTTTTCCTGGTACGCCCTAGCATTTCTCAAAGAACACCAAGAGCGCTGGTTGGTTACCACCCACCTCCCAAATCAGGACTCCTTGATCTCAAAAGGTCCTGAGATTCGGATTCTATCGGTCTGGTCTGGGAATCTGCTCTAAATAACTGTCCCGATGATTTCTGCTGCGTGGGGTCCCTGCCCTGAACTGATTCTTTCCTCCAGCTCACCCACTATCCTATCTTCCCGCCATCAACATTATTCAATGGAGATGGAGGATTTGCTTTCTTCCTAGGTGAAGAAATGAAAATCAGTATTGTTATAACTGGGGTACAACAGCGGCGCCTCCAGTTTACAAATCCCGTGCATATTCACGTACAGGTCGACAAATATCTATTGAGTGCCTTCCCCTGTGCTAGACACTGAATGAGGCTACCATCTGTCCTTAGTATGTTCACACTTAAATCAGACACTTAAGATTGAAAAAGGGATAGGTGCTAAAACGGACAGATGATTGACCCCATTTTATGAACTGCCAGGACACAGACATGGAAAGAATTTACTTTCTTTTCACAGTATGAATTGGGATTAAAACCCACATCTGATTTACTGCAGGTGTCATTTTTTAGCTTGCATAATTTTGAAGCGCATTGAAAAGATCTCTTCACTCCTCACTCCTTCCCATCAACTACAAGACTACTATTAGTGATTAATTCCTTTGGATAATTAAACTTTGCTTTTAAAATATAAATACTCTGGAATGTTAAATACAGTGAAGCCTGATAGTCATTCACGCTTGAGTGTAAATGAATTTACTTAGCTGCTTCCCTTCTAACAGTTAGCTGGTAACCTAAGGAGTGAGACTTCACATGTCTGGGCTGGAGGGAACATTTTAAAGCCTGCTTGGTGCTGAGAATGGAGGGAAGGGGTCAGAAGACACCTGCCAGAACTATTATACCAACTGACCCACTCAAGCCCAATAACCTTTTCAGAACATTCAATTGAATATTACTACCTAATCCAAATGATATTTTAAAGGGTATCTTTATTCAGATCAATCTTGGCCTGTCCTGATTTAAGGAGATGGCAAAGGTTTAATTGGTACAAGGGCTTTATTATTATTAT